GCGGTTCGTCAAAAGATGGGTCGATGTGTTGGCTGACCACCGTGTCACACATGAGGTCCGCAGCATCTGGATCTCCTACTTGACTCAGGTCGGTTTACATCTAACGTTTTTCAGTTAATAAAACCGAGTAATTCATGTTTAAAGCAAAGCAGTGATGTTTTACTCATTTTTTGTGTTCATTGTTGGTATTTTTTTGGTTACAGACGGACAAGTCTCTTGGTCAGAAGGTTGCTACTCGTCTGAATGTGAGGCCAAGTATCTAAGACTAAGAGTTAGATGCTTCTTCCAGAGATGTGTTTTTAAAGCTTCTTAAGAGTGTGCAACAACAAGAAGAAGAAAACAATGAGCAAGAGAGAAGAGAGCTAGTTATCTATATGGAATGGAAGGATGAATAATAATGTTGTTAATCCTCTGAATGTCTCTGTTTATTTCATGTTCCAAAACTCTCATGTACCATATTTATCAATCAAATAAATGCTGGTTGTTGTATAAGCCAGTTTTTATTTCTTCTGGTTTCCTTTTCTTGAATACTTCACTTCCGATCGGCCAATTGAATTTCTCAAATCGCTAGGTGAACGAACTAACCTCGTGTGTTTCATTTACAGAACAGAAATTGTTCATCTTGATGCTTCTAATGCTTTACTTCTTTTATTACCAGGGAAATAAGTAAATTTCTATATATCCTTCAGCTCAGCAACTTGTACAGCAATGCCACGCTTGAAAAACTGGTACTTCTTTTACTGTGCTTTAAGTCATATGCCTTGATCCAAAAACTTACCAATTGTTTCCAACGAGTAAAATCAATCAATCTTTCTTCTGCAGTATTTCATGCACTGAAGAGAAGGCTGGATGCAATTTGGGATTGGCTTTAGCAATTCATATGGCTCATGAACAAGGTCAGTCAGTTATTTCAGACCAATGTCATGCTTGAGCGGTTGATAAGAAACTAAATTAAGTAAACATCATATAGAAAAATTGGAGGCAAAACAATTTTTCATGTTAGTGGGTGATGCGGCAGGATGGGAAATCAAGTCGAATCTAGAGCCAGGGGACAATCTCCAAAACTTAGAGAGAAAAACCAAACTTTATATTTATGAGCGTTTAGTTCGTTGATTCGAGTTTCTAATTCGAGCTGAGATGTGACTTTATATGAGAGTTTTTTATTGTAGTAAAAAAAGTTAGATGTGACTGTTTTGAGAGCTTTTTACTGTAGCAAAACTCGAATCGGTGAAATGAACGGGACATTAATATATCAATATTCAAATTTGATGTATCACAATATCTAATTGGACTCTTTATAGTTGATCTAAATAACGATAACAAAATAACCATTAAGATAAATGGCACACTAGATAAATAATGATAACAAAGGCATACCTAAATTGATAAGCTAATACAAAGGGATAATAAATATAATATTATCTCCCACATCTGTGAGACAATAAAGGATGTCATAATAAAATGTGTTATATTCTTCCAAGCGGACAAGTCAATGTGGAGCAATTTGGTCTCCAAAGCCAACAACATCACTATCTCTAATTTATTCCCAGAACCAAGTAAATGCAACAACCACCCTTTATTGTTAGTATTATTATAGGAAGGCCAAGATATAATAAAATTTTTCCCAACACCGTTCAAAAAAAGTATCTCATCTTACTCAATAGTTAAATTTTTTTTGTCTTAGTGTAAAAAGTGAGAAATATCTAAGTTAATTTAATATAAAGAGAAGGCTGAAAACGATATGATGCACCAAATTTAATTTGACTGTCTTCCAGGAAAAGTAAATATTATTATTTTTCGCTTTTTTTTTTTCTTTTTTTTACACAACAAAGTGGGGATGAACCGGTTTTTCAAATATGATGCCAATCATGACCCCAGTATGGCAATATCCCAATTCTTGGTGGGTTACGGTGCACCACACCCTCGCCTGTTAAACCAGAGATTCTGTTTATTTTACTGATTTAAATTTAAAATTTAAATTTTATTATAATACAAGGTTCTCATAAACAGTCATATTTAATTTTTTTGTTACAGTAAAAAATTCTCACATAACGTCACATCTCAACTCAAATTAAAAACTCGAATCAACGAATTAAATGGGAATGTTCACCTTTACTTCTTCTTCTTTTTTTGAACTTTTAATCATTTTTTTATCCTTTTAATTGTGTTTTAAATAATACTAACGAGGCTATTTAACACACGAAATAAGATCCAACCAGATAGATTGCTTAAATCACTAGAGCAAGTGCGCAAAAATCACCTATTCAGGAGTGCGCTGCAACAAGACAAATTTGCATCTCCAATTTAAACATAACAATAGTAATATTGCCTAAAAGTAAACCTTCACCGCTTTTTTCTTCTTTTTCTACGAGAAACAATTACTAATAAAAAAAAAAGAAAATAATAAAAATCTAAAGTAGCTGAGCCCAAAAGACCGTTGGCCATCATTGATTTTTCTTGCTAGAACCAAAGAAGAAAAAAAGATAATACTGATTGGTTTTCCTTCTGATTTAGGTGGCAAAGTCCTGATTGTATTTGATATGATATTTCATTTTATTATTTTTGGCTCGAATTTATTTTGGTAAGGCAATATTTTTTGTCATGTGTAAAATGTGAAATGACTAAACAAAGAAAGGATGCCAAAGGAATAAGTGGGCCCAGAAAAGCAGGCTTTTGTGACTTAGGCTGACCCTCAAGGCCCATTTCCATAACCATATCGGCAAAATTGGTCTATTTCTCGTGAGAAAATTGTAAAAAACTAACCCTTAAATACATCATCCTCGTAAAGTTCTATTTTTTTTTTATTATAATAAGCTATTTTTTTAATAATAATTTATCAATTTATATATAGTAATTTATTAAATTACGTCTACTGACCTACTATAAGTATAATTTATCAAATTATAAATAATAATTTATTAAATTATTTACTCTAACAGAATAAAATTCAATAGATTAATATTAAAATCTAAAAATCCTTAATAATATCATTTTAAAACAATACTCGTCAAAATTAACAATTTCTCATAAAACAACAATTACCGGTTCAGTTTGTTAATTCGAGTTTTTAATTCGAGTTGAGATATGATGTTGTGTAAGAATTTTTTACTGTAATAAAAAAGTTAGATGTGACTGTTTCTAAGAGCTTTTTACTGTAGTAAAACTCAAATTATAAACTCAAATCAGCGAAAAGAACGGGACCAAAACAACCCAACAAAACATATCTTGGATTTCTTTTTGCGAGGAGCACACGTTTCGAGGTTCTATTGTGCGGACGTGGCACATTTTAAATGGGCCGCTGTCATCTATGCCACTAGTGGTTGTGAGCAGGTTTAAGCATGAAACCAAAACCCAAGATAAGGAAGCCTCAATCGACGACGTTCTCAATTATTTTAACAATTTTTCCCAACCTCTCCCTTCTTTCTTAATTTTCTTCGCCATATAAAATTCTTCTCATATCGGTTTGTGGGTCCCCTTTTTATTTTTTATTTTTTTTCCTTTTACCTCATATAATTTTTAGGGGAGTATTTGATTATATTGCCTCACATTCTCACGCTAAATTCGCGCCAATGGACGTGATAATATCGTCAATAATGGACAACAGAAAATAATTCCACAGAAAAACAGAAAATATATCAGATGAAAATTTAAATTAAAAAGTTAGTCCACCTAAATACGTAACTTAAATAAAACTGTGTTAGATTGTAATCATTTGCGGCACATGCTTCACCACGATTTATTTAAAATATTTCTCACTTTTCATAGTATCAAGTTCTTCATCCTTGATATATAATTTGTTCACATTATAAATTAATTAGATAGGAGTGACGCAATAAATAATAAGAGCTATTCAAAATTTATACATTAGATAATTTGATGATTAAGTTATATTTGTTTTGAGTTTATCTCTATTCTAGTTTTATAGTTGTTTTTGTTTTGTTCTTCAGTAGTCGTCATAGTATTTAACTTTAACATATAAAAATTATTGGCGTATACCATTAGTTTCATAAAAATCAACTTGATTCTTTAAATTACTAATGTACTATAGTTGTTCTTTCTTTCTTTCTTTCTTTCTTTTTTTCTTTTAAATTTTGTGATTACTTGCAATCCTAATATTTCTCATATATTATGATGTTAAATTATGTTGATTATAGTATATTCACCTCCATCCATTTTAGAAGACAATATATATATATATATAATCAATCAATTAATTTCATTGGTTAAAATTACAAATAACAAAGTGAAAACATGCAAATATGGTGCCAAAGTCGGTTCGAGAAGATGACATAAAATCGTGAGTCTTGAGTCAGCGAGACGCTAAAATGGGCAAAAATAATTAGATTATTGTATGAAGCTGACGTCATTTTTCAGACTGTCCGTAACTCCGCAGAGATAGAGATAACGATCACTAGTCTCGGAATTTGGGAAATTTTTTTAATGCTATTTATAAAAGCCACACGCCCTTTATAAATTTTTCCCCATATTTGCAGATTAATCCACACCAAACTCTCTCTCTATCTCTCTCTCTAAGCCCTTCCTCTCTCTCTCTTCCTCATCCATCTTCCTGCCATGGATCCCTACAAGGTACTCATTTCTCTTTTCTCTAATCTAAATTTCTTGTCTTCTTTATTTTGATTTATGAAGTTTCTTGCTTTAATTTGAATCCTACGTTTAAAATTGATAGGAAAATCAAACAGAATCAGAAATTTTAGGTTTTTATTCATAAGTTTGTATTTCGGAATCATGAGGAAGAAGAATTAGCCTAAATAAGTTTTTTCACAGAAACGATGTGATTGGGGTTTTTGCGTGTTTGAAGCAGAAAATAGGTGATTATTGATGGCTTTTGTATTTCTGAACCACTATTGTTCAAGTTTTAGCTGGTAAAATTGAATATGTTATAATGGAAAGCTGATGGAAGAATATATTTCTTCTCAATAGAATAAATATGATTGGTGTTTTAATTATATTTTTGAATTAACATATATAAAATGATAGGAGAATATATTTGTTTTCAATGGAACAAATATGATTGGTGTTTTAATTAGAATTAGGCTGTATGAAATGATAGGAGAATATATCTGTTTTCAAAAGAATATATATATATGATTGGTGTTTTAGATTTATTGCTAAATAAATTTTTTATTGCTTTATTTATTTATTTATTATATCTCTCTATTTCTTTTTTTCTTTTTTTTTCTTTTTTTCTTTCTTTTTTTTTTTTGGTGATTCAGTACCGTCCTTCGAGTGCTTACAACTCCCCTTTCTTCACGACTAACTCTGGTGCTCCCGTTTGGAACAACAACTCTTCGTTGACTGTTGGCCAAAGAGGTACTCCTTTGAAAGTTTAGCTACCTTTCTTAAAAATATGCGTGTGTGTGTTTTGGGTGTATGTTTACTTGGATTTTGGATTCAAGCGATTGCTAGACTGATTAGCCAATCGTCGTTATGTTACTTGATATGAAAATAGTGTTACTTTATTTCTTGTTGTTATAAGTGTCTTGCTGATTGTTATTGTTGGTTTTGGTTTTACCTGGGTGTTGATTGTTGAATCAAAAAAGATCTGTTTTGTTGGATTGCTGAACGATTTTATTTTGTTTATTTCAAAATGCCATTTTTGCTATAATTATGAATTTTGAATTAATTGAAAGTTTTGCTGTCATGATTTTAGGCATGGCTGAACCTTTACAAGTTGTCAGCTTTTTCAAGAGAGTAATAAGTTATTGCATTTTTAGGCTTTTTTAAAAAAATTATGACCTAGATGTATAGTATTGACTGTTGGTTTCCTTGGTTTATAGTAATCCATTTGGATTCCGTGTTTTGTGTGCTTTGGGTGAGGTTGAATAAGATAAATGTTGAGAAACTAAAGGGTAATATAAATGAAATTTCGTGGATTTGCATTAGTTTTCTGTGAGTGGAAAATCTAATTTCTTTCTTAAACGGGTGGAAAAGCATAATTTATTACTGCTACAACATTATTTTGTAAAATTTATATGTATGAAGTCTTAGAAATTCGCTTGTATTTTGACAGGTCCAATCCTCCTTGAGGACTACCATTTGGTGGAGAAACTTGCCAATTTTGACAGAGAACGCATCCCAGAACGTGTGGTCCATGCCAGGGGAGCCAGTGCAAAGGGTTTCTTTGAGGTCACTCATGATATCTCTAACCTAACTTGTGCTGACTTCCTTCGTGCTCCTGGAGTTCAGACACCGGTTATTGTTCGTTTCTCTACTGTTATCCATGAGCGTGGAAGCCCTGAAACCCTTAGGGATCCTCGTGGTTTTGCTGTGAAGTTCTACACCAGAGAGGTGAGGAATTTACTAGTACTTCCTATACATTGAATTGGCTAAATACAACTTGAAATTAGCTACACTGACCTTGAGGCCCTTTTGATGTCTATGTGGTGGTTTTTGAAGGATGTTTGTAGGGGTAGCTCAAGGTGGCCCTTGTGCCAGAAAGTCTTACCTTGTGTAGTTGTCATAAGATCTTGTGCCTGTAGCTTTGTTTACTGATCGGTTTCTGGTTCTCATGTTCATAATGTGACCTCATTCTTTTAATGCAGGGTAATTTTGATCTCGTCGGAAACAATTTCCCTGTCTTCTTCATCCGTGATGGAATTAAATTCCCGGACATGGTCCATGCTCTTAAGCCCAACCCAAAGTCTCACATCCAGGAATTTTGGAGAATCTTGGACTTCTTCTCACACCATCCGGAGAGCTTGCACATGTTCACCTTCCTATTTGATGACATTGGTGTCCCACAAGATTACAGGCACATGGATGGCTCCGGTGTTAACACCTACACTCTGATCGACAAGGCTGGAAAGGCTCACTATGTGAAATTCCATTGGAAACCCACCTGTGGTGTCAAGTCTCTGTTGGAGGACGAGGCAGTTAGAGTCGGAGGAGCGAATCACAGTCATGCCACTCAGGATCTCTACGACTCAATAGCCGCTGGAAACTACCCAGAGTGGAAGCTTTTTATTCAGACAATCGACCCCGATCATGAAGACAGATTCGACTTCGACCCACTTGATGTAACAAAGACCTGGCCTGAGGACATCTTGCCCCTGCAGCCAGTTGGTCGCATGGTTCTCAACAAGAACATTGATAACTTCTTTGCAGAGAATGAACAACTTGCATTTTGCCCTGGCATTGTGGTCCCTGGTGTCTACTATTCAGATGATAAGTTGCTCCAGACTCGTATCTTCTCCTACTCTGATACTCAGAGACACCGTCTCGGACCAAATTATCTTCAGCTCCCTGCTAATGCCCCCAAGTGTGCTCACCACAACAATCACCACGAGGGTTTCATGAATTTCATGCACAGGGAAGAGGAGGTAGAAAATTGCTTATTTTTCACCAAGTGGAAAACAATTACCTTCTGCTTGATTGACATTATGAATTATTTTGCTGAGTGAACTCCCATTTTATGCTTGTATAATTTATTCAAGTTCATCCTTTTCTGACACAATTTCTGCTTTTATGATATTGTTAGGTCAACTACTTCCCATCAAGATACGACCCTGTCCGTCACGCTGAGAGGTACCCAATTCCTTCTGCCATCTGCACTGGAAGGCGTGAAAGGGTCAGTTATCAATACACTAATAAATATCTTGATCCAATTGACAGAATTGGAACAATTTCTTTTGTCCTTAGATGTTAACATGCTAAGATTTAAACGTTGACACATGCGTAATTATTATATGAATGCAGACCGTTATTGATAAGGAGAACAACTTTAAGCAACCTGGAGAGAGATACCGATCCTTCTCCCCTGACAGGTAAAAAAAATTGTTGTCCTGGTGTCTTTATAATAAAAAATCAATATTTGATATCATATATTGCATGAGGCAACTCTGATTTGGTTTCCACTTTCTGATTTTTCCAGGCAGGAGAGATTCATCAAACGATGGGTTAATGCCTTGTCTGACCCACGTGTCACCCACGAGATTCGCAGCATTTGGATCTCCTACTGGTCTCAGGTCAGTTTTGAGTTTCCCAACAATGTTGAAGTTTTTTTCCTTTAGCGTTGCAAATCGTAAATATCATTACACTCGTATTATTTAAAAAAAAAAAAGGAAAGAAAAGAAAAAAAGAAAAAGAGAGAGAACAAGAACCGCATCTTATGGCATGTATGCCACATATACATGTGTGTATATATATATATATATATGTATATATATTTTTTTAATCTGTGCTTGTAATTATATCTCGTTTTAAACTTAAAAAGGCCAAAGGTTTTACTAATACTAATTTGTTTTTGTATGTTGGTGGGAACAGGCTGATAGATCTCTTGGTCAGAAGCTAGCATCTCGTCTGAATGTGAGGCCAAGCATTTGAGGGGTGAGTGATCTTCATGTTTTGAGTTCCGAAGATTGTTGCATGAGGAGATGGTAAACGAGAGAAGATGCTGGTCGGTCATATATATAGAAAGAACGAATGAAATGCTTAATTATTCCTTTTTATTTATTTGTGTCATATCATATATGCATACTCAAAAACTTTCATAGTTATGTGCTATGATGATGTTGATGTGACTCTTTGTGCTGATAATAAATGACCGTTTTCATGTTATATAAGCTACTCGTGTATTTTGTACCTTTTAATTCACTTCTTTGTATGATTTGTTGATTATGGAGATTCACATATTCAATTTCTCATTTTGTTCGCATGCAATGAGATGTGCTTAGGGGCTTGCTCTAGGAAAAGTTGCTTAGTATGAATTTTCACTCCTTGAAGGGAGAGAAGGGGGGGACCCAAAAAAAAAAAAAAAAAAAAAAAAAAAAGAGGAAAAAAGAAAACAATACTCGATATTTTCTTGAATAACATCTTAATGGAATCTCCACCCGTTGAATAATGTTGTTTATGTTTGCCAAGTAAGGATGTTTCACAATGTAATTGAGTCCACGACTTTTGCTTGTAAATGTGTCTGTAGATTTGGTGAAATGTTAAACTTCTGTCTTAAAAATTTCATTTTCAAGCATAAAAATTCATATTAAAAAAAAAAAAAAAAAAGGTAGCAACATTGCGACCCATATTATCACGTACTGAGCTCAGCGAACTGGCAAGAGTTAAGAGTTGTGAAAATTCGCAACACATCACTCATTAGTGGATGGTGTTCATAATAAGTGTGTTTACTTGTGTATAACAAAATTCATTTCGATTACTGAAAAATATTGAAATACATTTTTGTATTTTTGTGATAGTGTTCTTTAAAATCCTCAGTCACGAGTGGTAAAATTGAATATTGACCTTCCAATGATATTATTCTTCTCACTCGTTCACACATTGTTCACGATCGGTTTCAAAGCAATCAACCAATGCAAAAATATTAGACCATTTTTCATCAAAGTTTCATTTCTTCAATGATTAGATTTAAACCACGATATATAGCTCAAAGATGTAGAATCAAAAATTTGTTTATTGGAAATTTTTAAATCAAAAATTTGTTTATTGGAAATTTTTAAGTCAAAAATTTGTTTATTCAAAATTTTTAGAGAAATGAAATTAAATCAAATCATATGGTTGCCTATTCTGGCGATAATCTCACACTTAACTTTATCATAAAGTGATACGTTTAAATTTCCCATTGAATCAATCTTGTAAAATTAACTTTTTTTTTTAAATTTACCTAGTTATTTTATTTAAATAAAAAACAAGCGAAAATAAAATTAGGCTACAAGAAAAACAAAATGATTTAAAATACAGATAAACATAACAAGCATGAGAAATATGTTTTTTTTTTTTTCAATAAAAAAGAACAATTTGATCGGTTGAAAATTGTAATGTAAAATATCACAAACCGTTGACCAAACCAAGAAAAAATAGAACTCCCAAAATGATCACTTATATGGCCTATTTTTTCAACTATATTTTTTGACAACCCAAAAATACCCTTTGAGTTGATTTTGTGATGCTTTTATTTTGGTAATTAACTTCCATATATCTCTCATAGTTGAATTTTTAGAAGAAATTATTTGAAATCCAAGTTTATTAATTTATTAATCCCAATTTTTAAATTTTTAAATTTTAATTGCTCCGCGTAGAATAACGTGAAATAAGACCAAATTATAATGTAGTATCAATTATATTACTGAATTACAAACAAGCTCTACCTCATAATGTAACATCAATTATGCAACAAAATATCATAAAATCATGCATCAACGAAATATATATACACTAAACTTGGCAAGACAACATTCACCAGAAAAAGAAAAAAAAAATCGGTAAAAAAGAAAAATCGGTGAGACAATAATCCGTAGAATATTAGTTTTTTACCGGTTTGTAGGCAATAATGTCATTAATTACTTACAATGTCATTAAAAAAAATGCTTATTGATTGTTGGGCATGTGCAGGTACAGTTTGTACCTTACGTCGTGTCAAAGAATAAGGTAAGGGATTCAAAGAGGAAAAAACACCGTTTCTTTCATGGCCTTAACAAACGTGCATGATTGACAAAATAATTTGAAACGAACGTATCGATATTCTTTCATGGCCAGAACTAGTTTTTGTCTTCTCGGACGAAACCTCGTAAATAATTGTAACACCAACGGCGTTTTCTCTTCTCGTAGCTCATCTAGAAAGTTTTGACTTTCACCTGGATGATTTGTAGATATACCTTTTTTGTTTCGTTTTGGACTCTGCATTTTTTTGTCGTTTTGGAAAGGCTAGAACTTTTATTTGCTTATTAAAAGTTAAGCTTGATTTACTTTTTTAAGTTTTTATTTTTGTTTAATGGAACAAAAATACATAATGCTAGAATAGCACAATGTTCTCCCATCTTTCAGAAATTGAGACGTTGATTTTCCAGAATACACTTTCGTCCTCGCCAAAAGTCAAAGGCACTCTTTTCTTTGTCGTTTCTACTCATTTTTATTGCATATTTACTACTTAACTAACCAATTACAACAACTCATAATTTCTGGTTTGGTTTGAATTTGGTTTGAGGGTTCAAACCAACTGGAATTTAAATTTTGTGAGGAAAAACATTATAGTAAAACTTTTAAATTTAAATTTTTATAAAAGAAAATACTATTTGAATCAAAATTGTGGTGTGGTGGTTGTCGCAGGCAAAAGCCTGGTTGAAATGGGACCACTTATAAACTAATGGTTTATGGCATGTTTACATCTTCTGTGATTTCAATTACTGAGATTTAGGCATGAAACAACATTATGATTAATAACTGAAAATGCATACAAGGCTTAAGTTGGGAAACATTAGCAAGTACTTTGTAGAAGAAATATAAAGCTAGAACACCTCCATAATCAAAGGAATAATATGAACTGTGGATTTCCAATAACAAAGTCTATATACTCCTTTCTATTTGGATTCCCTATTTACACACAATTGCCAGATAGAATTCTACTTTCTTCACTTCTTGACTCTTACTGGCTTGCCTGGTTAACCTCCACTGTATTCCTGTTTGTCATCCTCTCCTTGTATTCTTTCAACTCTCTCCTGTATCTTTCCTTGTCTTTCAACCCGATATTCTGATAAACCTATGAATAAAAAAAAAACAAGAATGAAGGCATTCAACTAACAGAAACCTAAAAATGCAAATATTTAGCAACCACGCATTGATGTTTTCGAATTACCATCCTCTCTTCTGGATTGAGATTGCTCCATGACTCGCCAATCATCTTAGTGAACTCCCGTTCTCTGTTCGGGAAGAGGGCTTTGAGCTTGTAATGCTTCTCGGCGAAGAAGAAGTTGTATCCACTCCGATTAGGTTTCGGATAATTGGGGTCTCCCCTTCTTTTGCTTCTCCTTTTCCGACGGGAGTGTCTAGGTTTTCCGGTGTATGGCACGAGTGCATTACTACATTGGGGAACCGAAACCGGGGTAGAAGGGCCTTCATCTTCTGGATGGTAAAGTACTCCACTAAGAATCTCCGACCCCAGCTTCACAGTAACCAAATAACCACAATCGAATTTCCCCTCAATTCTTCCAATGCCTTTAAAAAATATATATATCAAGGATGACAACAATTAAAATCATTGGCATAAACTTTAGTCAACATCAGTTCAATGTAATCTTAATCCTAATCCGTAAAAATATAGATAAGCAGCAGCCGCAAATTTGAAACGCGACGTTGGATGTGGGACCCCATCAAAACCTTTCTTTAGAGAGATTTTAATAAAAATTCACTCTTGGCTTAAAAAATAAACAATAGTATGGAAGTTTCACTTCAATAATCTATTCAAAGATTGCTCGAATCAAATAATAAGCCTGACAAGATCACAAAGCCTAGTAGGAAAAGTCATTACAGGACAAGAAAGTGAAATAGAAAATATTGCGGGGCCAGATAAACCAGGCAAAGAATTTGTGGTGTGTGGTTGACTTTGACACTCTTCACTTTATTCACTTTGCATTTGCCTTTGGACCATCCGCAATAGCTGTGGGGAAAAAAAAAAAAAAAAAATCACCTTCAATATGTGGGTTCGGACTGTCGTTTATGGTTTTGGGGGAATATTGCACAATAGCCAATTCGGGTTTGCATGAACGGCCGCCAACAGGAAATGCAACTGGAGAACGACAAAAAGGAAAGCTTTTTAGAAGGCAAAGAAGAAAGGAGATGCTAAAGAAGACAAAAAATAAGATGAAGGCATAATTATTATATTAAAAAAAAAAAAAAAAACTTTATGAAAGAAAAGGGATAAGAGATAAAACAATGAATTAAAAAAAAAAATACCTGATGGGTTGCAAAGAGGACCTTGCATTTTAAAGAAGTAAACTTGTTCATAATGGTAAAGAAGGCTAAAGTAGTGTTTCCTCAACACAAAAGAAGCACTTGTTGTTGTTGGTGAGAACATGAAAATACTACCCACTTCCCTCCATTTCTTCTCTGCAACAACCTGCACATGATTTTTTTAATTTTATTTTTCATGTGTTTCTTTAAAGACTTCTGAAAATAATAATAATAATAATAATAAGCCACTACATTTCTTATACTTCATGGGTATATTTTAAGTTGAACGAGGAAAACGAACCTTCTCAAAACCACCTCTTCTTGTTACCTCTACATAGAGTATATGCAAATCCAACTCTTTAAACCCTCCAATCACAGGAATCCTTTGAACATTTTGCCAAAATAAAATATTAAACAACAAAAAACTTTTAGAAGCGGTTACTTTTTTCTATGAAAAGTTGTTCATCTTTTTTTTTTCTTTTTTTTTTTTTTTTGAGAGTTCCCATGAACATAACATTCTAAGCGTCCTATTATTCTAATCCTTCGAACATCCCCAAGAAATTGTTTTCACGATTTAAACTAAATGAAAAAATTATATATATTTATTAAAAGAAGAAGAAAGTGCTTACATAAACTTGGTATTCATCAAAAAATGGAATCGCCTGAGAGTGTCCCAAAATACAACTGGGTCCTTCACAACCTCCTCCTGGGAAGCAAATGGAGGACAGTGCAAATCCTGCTCTCTGTTCCACCCCTTGCTTCTAGCCACCGGCGACATGCTTGTCTTTCCGGTGTCCGGTAAACCAGACACAAAACAAAAGAACCTGAACAGAGAACAGAAATGAGATTGAGAAGTGTTGAAGATATTATTTATTTATATTAAATAAAGAGGTGAGAGAATAAAACAAAAGAGTAATGTAAATGATTTATAAGAAGGAAGTAAAGTAAATGATTTTTTAAAGATAGGACAGTAATGAAAGGGGGGAGAGTGAATAAGTCTGACCAAAGGCTGTGTACAAAAGAAATAGGGATTGGACGCGTGGGATGTAACGGTTACACAAAATTGGCTTTTTCTGCCAACTTTTTAAAAATACTGCCCCATAACCCTTAATAATACTTAGATTTATTAATTACTAATAGTGTATCTTGCATAGTTACGCCCTGAATTTTAAAGGTCTAGAAACTTAACATTTTATTGATTTGAATTTATAATTTGAGTTGAGATGTAATTTTACGTGAGAGTTTTTTATTGTAGTAAAAAAGTTAAATGTGACTGTTTTTGAGAGCTTTTTACTGTAGTAAAACTCAAATTCTAAACTCAAATCGGTGAAGTGAACGAGACCTTACCTCTTAAATTTTTTATTTTAATAATTTACCCCTCAACTTGCAAAACACTTGCAATTTACCCCATTTATCAATTTTACTTTTGTTTTTTTTTCCAGAGGATTAAGAGTTGGGAAATTGAGACATTTGTGATATGTTTTTTATGGTTTGAATTGAGATGTTAAAATTTATTTATTGAATGTGTTTTTTTGTCACCAATTTTAACACGATAATCATTAAAATAAGATATGTTGTAACTGTTCTATAAGTTGAAGAGGCATATTAAAAATAAAAAGAGTAAATTATCAAAATTACTACAAACTCAAGGGCAAATTTGTAAATAGACCTTACAAACACAACACTCTCTCTTATAGCTATACGTGAACTCTCTCTTTCTCGTGTCACTCCCATGTCTGACATCTCTGGCGCAGTATAAGGGTCCATTTAGTTCGTTAATTTGAATTTTTAATTTAAATTGAGATGTGATTTTATGTGAGAACTTTTTACTATAATAAAAAAGTTAAATGTGACTGTTTGTGAAAATTTTTTACTGTAATAAAATTTAAATTTTAAACTTAAATCAACAAAATAAATGAGACCTAAATTAGTATCACTCAACTCCCTTCTCTTGTCACTTTTTTATCCCAAAGTCTAAACATGGACATGCACTTACCCGCTTAGGCTTTCTTTCTCCTAAAAAGTCTTTTTGAAACAAATCTTTAGCGTACATCTGCCAGTACATATTTGATTGGGCTTTTACGGGTGCTATAGAGTGCACCCAAGCCTACAGTTAGCAGGAGTTATCAAAGATCATCTGAGTCGTTGACTTAGGCGATAATGAAATGCTGGATTGGATTTTTCTCTTTCTACTTTACGTGGGTCTTGGGTTTATCCGTTAAGACGTGAAATGTGTTTCGTCCTTCCATATGTGAGCCTCACCTGGTGGCTTAAGATTGTTGACTTGGAAATAGGTCTGGTTCAATTTGTGAATTTAAATTTTTAATTTAAGTTGGGATATAATTTTATGTGAAATAGAAAAAGTTAGATATAATTTTTTATGAGAATTTTTAATTATAATAAAACTGAAATTAAAAATTCGAATCGGTAAAATCTACGAAGTGTTTTTATTTTTCTCTTCCATTTGTGCTTTTTCTTTTTCTTTCCCCCTTTTTTATTTTATTTTTTATTTTGCTTGGGCTTTTTTTCACCTCCGCTTGGTAGTTCTACTTCAAACTTTCATTTTGTTGTCCTTCGTTATTGAAGGAAACCAATATATATTTGGAACAATTTATCTCATATAGCTATATCTGATTACAGGTGGTGACGGTAAAATGACAAAAGACGATCTACTTAGGTTCTCTTATCTAGTACTTGTGGATCGATTTTCATTGTCGGCAGTACCACAAAGGGAGTGAGTGGTGGATCCAACTTATTCAGATAAAGAATCTTTGGCTGCTTGCGATGTATCAGTGTTTGTTCATGACAGGTAAAATTTTTGAGTGGATTTTATGTCTTTTATGAGCTTAGGCTTGTTGAGAGCATATGTTGGCAAGTATATTCACGCTTTCTCACTTTTGTATGATTAACACGAATGTTTTACAATTGCACTTACTTTTATGAATATCTAAGATTTTTTTCCCTCCTTTTTTTTCTTTTTTTTTTTGGGGCACTGGTTCTGATGAATCATAGAGTTGTTGGTTGAAGTTGATTGTTGCAGCTAAAGATGATTTGGTTTCATTTCCGTTGGCCATACAACGTTCTACAAGGGCATACTGTTTTGAACACGTGTTTTATGTATTTCACAGTTGTGAGGATTTGTTTTCAATGGTCTTGTAATACGAGTCAATTATATTGGATGTCTTGATTTTTTTTTTTTCTCTTTTTTTCTTGTGTGAAATGCGTTGACGTTTATTTCAATCTGGATTTCCTTTTTTTAGGTCAGTCATTATTATATGATGAATTTAATTTATCAATCCTGATATATGGGTTCTTTAGACCTTTAAGAGGTTCTTAAACTGGCAATGATGAGTGTTAATATCCATGAGAATTTTGATGTGTCTATGATTACGATTTGGGCTTATGGTTATGAATATATGATCATGCCTAGGAAGGAAAGGATTTAAGTGTTAGTATCTATGAGAACTCGGACGCGTCTAAACTTTAATGAATATTGAGGGACTCGTTTTGCGTTTCTATATATTATTATTGGCCTGCCTTGTCATTATGAAACAACTCTGTGCATTGCACATGCATTTAGGGTTGTTAAGCTACTCACTTACTAAGCATTCTAGCTCATTTCTTTAACGACTGAATTGTGAGATTGGTTGGGATTTGGGATGCTTATATGAATTTGTGTGGATTTGGTTTCATTTACACTAAAATAACATAATCAAAGTCATTAGTACTTCAGTCTGCGTACTTCTCTTTTTGTCACCACTTACAACCTTTCTCACCACTAGGGGAAAAAGAAGAATGCTGGAAACTAATTTGCAGCCGCTTGAAAATGGAATGTTTTATGCCCTAAAGCGTGATAATAAACAATAATGTTTTTGAGCTTGATGGTATTAGGACACCTTTTACTATCCTGTGAAGTTAGGTCATTTTTCACTTTGTAGCTCTTAACAAGCAAACGCAACTCTCCGCAAACTAGCTGCAGTTGAAGGCGCTTCGACTTGAGAGGAAGAAGTGGAGAAGGAAGCGACAAGTTCCTCAGATAGGCACGGCCACCACCCCGTGACGCTCCCAAACCGATCGCTATCGTTTTCTTGCTTTCTTGTTGTCTTGAATTGTTATAGAACGGCTTTATATCAGGTATAGTTGGTAGGATTTGAAAAATTGGCATTGGCTTTCTCTAATTAACTTGAGAATATTAGTAATTTGTCCTGTCAACAAAAAAGATGATGATAGGGAAGAAGATGAATGAGCAATTTGAGTTTTGTAATCATATATTTTTTCTAAATCAAAATTTTTATCTCAAATATAGTTTTAATTCTTTAAATCAGTGTTCCATCAGTGTTTAATGGATGACGCAGTGAGGAACAAATTTGTTAACGTTTTGAAGTTTGATTAGGGGCTAAAGTAATAAAACTAACCTAAATTCGAGGAATTTGTAAAATGCCATTGATATTTTGTAATTCCAATTTATTTCTTTCGTATTATGCCATACTAAAAGGAGAACTATATACTTCTAAATTAGAAAAAATGCCTCAGAAAAAACAGAAAAGGGAACTAATTGCGAGGACAACACAAAAATTCTCAATGACAAAAACTAAAAAATGAGTGTTGAAAGGAAAGGACAAAGAACTAGTAAATGAGAATCCTAAAACTGCTCCAAAAAGAAATGGCACTCACCCAAATCAACAAGAATTTTCTTCACAAAAGGTGAACAAGAATTTTCTTAACAAATAATCGGATATTTTTTTGGAAAAGTACATAAATAAAGTTTAGAAAAGTTTTATTGGTTTTAAACTATACCTTTATAGGCCGAAATGCACATCCGGTGTGAAGAGTATACCTTTTCGATCGGGGCAATCGCCACGGTATTTGCTGACGATTGACCCAAGAATATGTAGTCCTCAACCCTGTCATTGGTGCCCATATCCTATTTTCGATTTATAATTTCTTGTCAAAACATGCTACTTTTAGGGTAATTAAAGTGTATAATGGAATTTTTATTTAATTATAGTTGAGAAATATATCACAATCACATTAATATCCTTCTAATGGTTATAGTTTACATTTTAAGATTTATTTCATAAGTGTCCACAATTTATTAACTACTTTTCAATGTGCCCCTTGATAGGACAGTAAATCCATTAGGGATATAGGCGAAAGTGGATGGATAGGGCATTTTAAATGATTTTTTATATATCAAGGGTTGTTTTGTATTGTTTTGAAAAATCGGCAGCACTTTAAAAAATGATTCATACTTCAGGGGTATAATGAAATAATCTAAAAAAAAAAAGAGTAACGAATCGTCATTCACAATCACGTGATCGCTAAGTAAAATAATAAAAAATAAATATATATATGCGCGGGTGTTATATTTAGAAATTAAAGCCAGAAGGTCATATTATTTTTCCTTTTTCGCCATAGATTTTCCTTTTTGAGCTCACTCTACTCAACCTGCAACTGAAATCATGGCGGACGCAGAGAAGCTTATTGTACATCTCTCTGCCATACTTTTGATGATTGAGAAATCTCTTGTCTTCGACTTAATCCGTGGAATAAGCTTGTGATTTTGGTTCGTCGGGATCAACTGTAGGATTCTCCTGATCGAGTTTTTTGAGCTCATGAAGAAAGCTTTGGAGTGGTTGTCCAGAAATTCTGAATCTGAAACTGCAGTCGTTCAGAGACAAGGCGCGCTCGGATTTCAGTTAGTCTGGGTTTTATTTTGAGTATATCATGCATTGAGCATGGAGTTAGAGCAAATGATTTAAAGAAATAGGAAATTTAGCTAAAGTATTACATTGTTTGAGTGGCACTGCCATTGCACAAATTGTATTAGCAA